TGTGAAAGTTTTAGTGGAAAAACTGCTAATTGGAGAACCAGACAAACTAGAAGTCTAAAATTTTAAGGGGATGTTCCCAGCTCAAGTGTGATTTAAAGATTTCAAATTCATCCCCAAGGTGTGCCTATTTCTCACGTACGAGCCCGTCGAAATTTTTGGCGAGAAAACTGCTAACTCGGGAATCAGGAAGGGTGAGAAACTGAAATTTTAAGGGAATTTCCCTGTCCAACCACCATTTAGTTGCACAATTAGCTTCCAGAACTTCGAGGACCAATATGTCACGGATACTAGCTATTGGGATTCCAAGCGATCTTACTACAGCACGAAATACAGCAAAAACACATGATCGCATGGGCCAGCCTGGTGCTCGTCGCCAGTGATTTAACTGTTGTTCATGACCGTTATACACTTTTGCACATTTGATTTATGCAAACAGAGCTGATCCATCGACAACCTTGCCAGTGGATGGTTTCGCTGGCAGATGCTAAAACCCGGGTTGCTCCAGGTAGCCCTGCCCTCTTATAGAGACGAAGAGAAGAATCTGACTTCTGGCCAATCCCAAATTATGCGCGAGGGGTTAAATTTTCAGGCCGATTTATATTCGTGCTATTTGTGGCTTCAAGTCTAATACTGGAATCCTACGATCACGAACAAAGCTATGAACTCGATTCGTATTTAGAACACTTAATCATTCACTGGGTAAATAGGCAGTTTGAAACTAGCCTTTAATGTTTATTGTATCCTGGTCTGTGACTTTAAGCAAGAATCGTGGCTGATCCTATAAGTGGTGGATTTAAAAGTCTCGGGCTTAATTCACTGCACTACGCTAGACAGCATGAATAATTCTAAATCAGCTCTCAGACCTTGATCTATGATGATATATCCAAATTTGTGGGTTACAAATCTTAAACAAAGGAACCCAAAAATGCAGAAATTTCTTGTTTTTCAAAAGCTAGATAGGTCAAAAGCTTGTCTTATACTGGCTCATCTATCCACTCTAGCACTCCGTTGCACGTAATTACTTATCAGCAGCAAATAAATCAGCAATTTGGAGAGTAAAATTACATCAATTTTCTCAAAAACGGTTTAATGTTTTCTGCCAAATAATCAAAGTAGAACAGACAGTCAAGAATTAACCTGGCATACACGAAGGGCATTCTGCGTAGCGCCACCTGGTATAAATGACACTTCATGATTGTCCACTAGCTCTTCAAACCTAAAAGCGGTTTTGGAATACGGAATCGTACTAAATGGAGTATTTTAAAAATTCTGTGAAAATTAGCAGGACCCGGCTTGTAGATAAGTAGGAATCCAATAAATGGCCAGAAAACTTACAGGGGTATACGCTGATCGTCGGCTAGTATAGCATCATTCTCCTTCATGTCCCACTTCTCCAAAAAATCATGACTCACTTGAGCTTGAATGTCAAGCAACGGATTCCCGCAGCCAAGTAATATTCCTTCTGGACAACGCTCTTTCACTTCATCCATATCCGACATTGCTAGATGCTTCACGTATATAGGAAAAAACATTCACCACTTTTACGGGTAAATCAAAAAACCGACACATTTCTTTTACACTTTTTTCTTTTATTTATCTTCATGTACATATATTTATAAATAAATAAATAAACAAATAAATAAATA